CTACCTCCTCAAGTAATACATTTGTCTCCTCCACAATGTTCAAACAATTAAAAAAGTAAACTTTTAAAAAGTTGTTTGGTGCTTGGTATTTAAAATATAGTGGTAAAAAACTAATTTTTTTACCATATGCATCATAGAAATATGTATTTCAAACTCCATATCAAAATTAAAATCAAGAAAAATGAAATACCAAGAGGCTGATGTCACCATGTAATGCTGCAAGATAAATTTAAACATCAGAGTTAGTGGAAACTGGAAATGGCAAAACGCTTGCCAAAATATGATTATATGTATTTCCAAATCAAAGAGAATTTATTCTTTTAAGAGCTAATGTCAATTGTTCCAACCATTATAAGGATCAGCATTAACTGCACAAAAAGAATTCAGAAGCAGCATTCCTAAGGGAAAGAGAAGTAGGTCATGAATTTCAAAAACAGCATGTTTTATGGCTTTAAAGATACAACCTAAAATCAATATATCCCTGGAAAAAATCCTGAGTTTGGTCACATATGGTTTTTATTCAAAAGGGTAACCTCTCTCCCTTTTACCACTAGCACTATTATTTATGCATATTTTTTCATCTTTCTCACTCAACCTTATGACCAAGAACAAAACTGGAGACTTTTAAAGCACAAATTAACATAAATTACAGCGCACTTAGTTCACAACCCAAAAAAGGTAAACAAGAAATTTACCACCAGCTGAGTCCTCAGTCACTCTAACCAGCAACTCCATACTCCCATGTGGCATGCACAGACATCTTTTTTAATCTCCTAGAGACAGCTCCTCACTGTGAAAACACATAACTAACAATTCATAACACATTCTCTATTTCCGAACTGATCAACTGCACTGTATCCACTTTGTTTTAAGACACTTTCTGTGGAAGATCTGTTGCCTTTCAAAAAATATATATTAATCCTCCAACTGCACGACCTAAGTTTTCTATTCAAGATGAGCAAGGCTTCCGGCTGGCCCTTCTGCATTTTGGTAGCCAATGCCTGTTCTAGTTAGTATCCGATGCGGTGAGACTGCTATCTGGAGTAAGGGATGTAGAGTAAGAATAGCAGGAAAGACCCTTGGCCGCGCTTGATTCTTTCTAAAAGAACGGGTTCAGCAGGCTTTTTTGAACACCTCTCAGATGATACATTCCATCACAGGAATTAATCACCTACATGCACTTCATTTCCCTTTAGTATTTAGGTATTAAATGCTCTGGATTAATCTACTCTTAAATCCAAAATGATCTCAGCCTACTTTAAACTTGGCTACCACTTCAGAACTAATCATCTTACCAAAGAAATGTCAATGGAGAACTGAGGAGTATAATTAATGTCTAGTGCCCTGCACAACATTTCCCTAAAAATAACTAAGGGGAGCCTTATTCGATCCAAATCGAAAATCTCTCAATCTGGGGGTAGTGTGTTTTTGGAAGAAAAGTTATTTGCCCTACGATAATTGGAGGGCAGCAAATACTTAAGGTTTGTATTTTTTTAACTAATATTTTGAAAACTACCATATGCACATTTTTCACCTAATTACATACGGTAAAGCTAAACTTAATATTTAAAAAATTATAAGCTACTCTTGAAAATACGAATTGTATTTAAGTTCAGGAACTTTTCACTAATTGGGGTTGCAAAAAAATCAAGAATGTACAACTTTGGCAACATAAGAGTAACAAGGAATCAAATTCTATAATATTTCAATATCTACACAGCAAAATAATGTCACAAAACTTATCAAGAACGTATTTCTCCTTTATGTCTGGGTGACATTAGTAGCCACCACTATCTTTTCTGCTATGATTCTGTAATGAAGAAAAAGACACTCTTTCAAGTTATCCACACATATAGATCAGACTTTACAACTCTAAGTTGTTCTCCCTTTAAAAAAAAAAAAAAAAAAAGGAGCCAGATTACAACCATGTATAAAATAAGAGAAAGTTATATATCCCTCACTTGTTACATCTTAAGTAGTTTTCCAACACAGCATTTAACAAGAACACGTTTTAGTGTTTTATGATAAACAACATCGTACTTCAAATTCTCCTGAACCTATCTGCATTTCCCCATTGACAAGAAGTGGTTTCGTCTAAGTGGAGAGAACAGGTGGTATAAAAATACATCTTTGTGTGTACAGAGGCAATCTCCAATTTACTACCATTCTTCTACATGTCGCTTGGAACAGAAGATGGAAAATTATAAGAAAATTCACCTTAATATGTTATCTTCACACACACACACATACATGATAGTATTACAAATTACTAGAAGGTTTAAATACTAAATCCACCCAATTTCCTTTGCTTCTTACCTAAGGATAATTATTGAGGGGGTTCAAAATAATTAGCATTAGGCCTTGCAAGATCAAGGCAGCATTATTTTGGGTTCTGTGGGTCCACTTACAAAGCAAGGCTTATTAACAAATAAACTATAAACCTGCAGATCTAACTTAAAGCTCGCAAGGTTTCTTTCTGTTGAATTAAAACAAAATCATCTAACTTTCTGGGTTAGCATCATTGTTTTTCTACCATGAAGCAACCTTGTCATAATGGACCATTCTGCTGGCCTCCATAACTAGATAGAGATTTTCTATATTATCAAGATGTAGAAGTCAGTGTATAGATACAGATACAGAGGTAAATAATCCCAACGTTGGTGTTCAAGGAAATGACTGGATTCCATGCATTGGGCCATGCACATATCCTGCTGCATGAATCTCAACCACGTACTTCAAAAACCATGTTGTGTTTCTGCTGAAGCCGATTTTTCTATCGTACACATTTTAAATTGAATCCTTTGCCTTGTAAGCCCAGCAAACCGTCCAATGCATGATATTTCAGCTTCTCTCAGCTTTTTTCCCATTTAATACAAGATCTCAACTCTCGTGGCAACTCTCAGAGGTATTATTATACTCTTGTTCTGTCATCCCTCTACCCCAAAAAAGTATACAGAACGATTTTGAAACTTACATTTTCCATGGAAACCTTTCCTCAAAGCAAAGTGATGCACAAAACTGAAATTATATGGCTGCTTAAATGTCACATGCTGGCGTCCAGCAGAGAAACAATGCTCTAAAGAGGGGCTGTGTCTTGCTTGAGGAAAAAGGTGTGTTCCTTTTTCATTGGTGTTACACACTGCCACAAACAAAATGACCCGGGAACTTTGCGGAGGAGGTCTAGCTGAGCTCTTCCCCTGCATCACCCGAGTCCCCGTGCGTCCTGCAGAAGACCACATCTCACCTTTACGATGAAAAGGTAATATCATTTCACCCGACAGCTCAGAAATTAATCATTTAAAAGCACGTTTACAAGAGCAGAGCGCCAGTTGTTATTTCTGCCACTGGAACTACGAGTAATTAGAAGTAGTTTAGGGCAGGAAGTCAGAAAGGCTCGGCAGAATTTAATTAAACAAATTGGATTTTGGCAGAGAAGTCTAGGTCAACAACCTACTTCTATAAACAAGGCCATGGAATCCTTAAGGACCACATAAGGCACTCATATATAAACTCTCAAGCATCAAATGCCAACACGCAGGTCCCCACCCCCAAGTTCAAGCTGAGTTTTAAACTTCCAGCTTCTTCAAGGGGGAAGAGCGAACATCTTGCCAACCGAATCAACACCCTTGAGAAATGAATTTCCTCCTTTATTTCTGTTATTATTGTCTGTATACTCTACATCAGTTTAATTTCTTAAAAACAGGTTTTACTCTGCGGCCTTAACTCAAACTACATTGATCTGAAGATAAACATTGTCACATTGAAATAATCCCAGATCACTGAGAATTCTTAACCCACACACATCTGTTGTGGTTGTGATTTCTGCTGGAGGAGCTATATTAGACATTCGGAATGTCTCAGACTTGGTTTCTTTCTGATGTGTCAACATTCCCCATAATAATAAGGAAAATAAGGGAAAGAAGAGGAAACTAAAACTACTCAAGATTTAGCAGATATGAGAGGACCAAAATAAGTGCAGAATTGATGAATCACACTACTTTTCAGTGTCCATGTCTATAAACCTTCGAGAGATGTTCAAAACACATATCATTCATAAACCAGCCAGATAAATATGACACACTTCAGCCGAACTGGAATTATAAGAAAGAAATAGTTCTGAAGCAGTTATTGGTGATGTTGAAAACACAGTTCTTCCCCCCAATAGGGGCATAGAAATCATGACTAATCTTAACTGAGCTCAAAAATAACCATTCTACCAAAAGACCACTGGGGGGCTCACACACCATGGCACTCATCCAAAAACAGACTGTAAGGGAAAAAAGTCACATTTCATGTGTGAGGTTAGTTTTACTTTTTACCTATTTTTGCTGTTGTTTGGTAATTGGAAAAAAGTTCCACAAATACTAACATTAAGAAAAGGACTCTCTTAATTTTTAACAGGCAATACTGTTAGAAGGTATGCTAGGTATTATTTGAACAGCCTAAACTTACATATTCAGCAAATAAACAGTAAAACAAAATATCAAGAAGCACACAGTCAGAATCTCTTCCTATCATTATATTTCCATTCAGTTTCCTCACAGTAGTTTTTAGGAAAAATAAATTTCATTCCAAACTATCCTACGGAACAATATTCCTATTAAATTACATAAATACTAATTTCCTTTTATTCTAATGTTTTGTTTATGCATAAAAGCCAACTAATCCTTTCAGTGAGATGTTTGGGTGACATGAGGATCTTCATTAAAACGTTTTAGTAGAAGGTTTCGTATCAGTGATCCATCTTCTGATACCATTACAACCACTTATACGGTGACACAGGAACTTAAACCCATGTAATAAATGAATAAACACACAAATAAATAATAAATGTCCACAAATCAAATGATGGTACAGAAAATATCAGTATTTGAAGCTATAGAAAAATGTCCAAATTAATCAAGAAACTTCTTCAAAAGAATATTAAGGAATAAACACAAAGAATATGTTACTTTCAACTCCAAAGGAAATTCAAAGGGATCAGAAATTTCTGTACCAACCTGCCTCTTGCTGATTTCTGAAGTGGTTCTTTTGAGGTTCAGTGACCTTGAAAACCTCAGCGCCTTCACCGAATCCTTCCGAGAGGCACCAGAAAAAGAGTAATACCTCTTCGCAGGCTTCCTCTTCACTCTGTCTGCCATCTCAGTCCATGAGAAAAGCAAAATCCACAGTGACTCGATCCCGAAACCGACGACAGAATAAACTGATCCCCACATAAAAAGGCCCCAAACCCAGATACAAGCCCTGTGTCTGCTCAGTCCTCTAGAAAGTGTAACAAAATGAAAATAGGTGGAAAATACGGGACAGAACCTATTCCACATAGGCACCCTCAATGGACGCCAGACTTTGCATATGGCAGGGCAATTCCAGGCTCCCCAGGGAGACCAGGGGCAGACTGCACCACAACAAATTAAAACCACCTTCACCAGTTCAACAGGCCAGGGGTAGTTCGTCAGGAGTGAAACAGGGCGTAGCAACACACCTCGGAGTCAGCAGGGTGTGAATGAGCACACCAGGCTTTAAGGAAGTCCCTTAACTCATTCCTTGCCAAAACAGACAGCAGGCTGCAGGACAGGGTCAGGCACGACTCCCGCCTCCAAACAAGAGCCTCTCAGCAGGACTATTTTTCAAGCTCCTGGAACATTCTCTTCTTCCAGTGAATGCGAAATGCAGTGATCAAATGCTCAAATACAGACTTCTTACTCAGAAAAAGAGAGGGCAAAATATTCATAAGGAAAATGACTTAGGAGTCTGGAACACCCCTCCTCTGCCCCAGAAAGGAGAGGAAGGTGTTTGTCTGTCTCTTCGAAAGGCAACAAGAGCATCTTTCCCTTGCGTCGCTCAGTTCTGACCGAACTGAGGCTGAGTGTGAGGAGGCATCACAAAAATAAGGCTTACGAGAAAACGAGAACTCGGCTTCTAGGGAGGATGGAAGCCTATGAGTGTTCACAACACAATTAGCACTCACAATACTCTCAAAACTGCAGCCCCACAAACTCAACACGTTAGGACACTCGCAAGCCTACCCCAAGGGTATAAAGGTAGGACATCCAAGGTAGTGTTTTTTAATTTAGCTAATAACCTTAAGAGTTTACTATTTTTACAAAAGAGGCACAGTATTATTATGTTTTAAAACACACACATACTAATCATTAAAGAAACTACCTAACTGTAAAAGCTACCTAACCACACATCAGCCTGTACCAGAAAACCCCGCTGATAAACAGCACAAACACAGAAGCTAAAAGGTGGCAACACGTAACAGAGTCACACGCCGCAGCATGTATAAAATGTTATCCCTGCCCCCAGTTAAGTACCAAAATTGAGTATGCTTTTGGAAACTCTTCTAGCAATTTGACATAATAATTTTATGTCTGGTGACTAATTATAGATGAAATAAAAGAAAAATACAAGCCAATTTTTCCTTGTAATTAATTTGCATTAAATTCCACAGATTGGCAATAAAAAAACGACTCTAGCCTTTCCCCAGGGTAGTTTGAGGAGCACTGATCTACTGTGTTAACTGAAGGGAGAATATCCTTACATGAGACTGGGAGAGACGGGAAGTCAGAACTAACGCTAGGACTAGCAAACATTTCTGGAGGCTGACCGGAACACGCCTCCTAGCTCATCCAGCTTGAACATCCCCACCGATATATGGAATATCTCTCGCTTTAAAAGTACTATTTATAGTAAGAAAAAAGATAAAAGGCAAAACCAAATTATAAAACATGGAGCAAAACTGTTGTAGCTGAAAAATCTTTTGTTAGTATTTTCATCTTCCAGTTTTACAATGGATCCCAAAAGCAAGCACTCCCTGTTCCCTTCAGCATCTCGAGCTCTGCCTGGAACGGAAGAGATGCTCAGTAAACACAAGCGGGCTAAACTAAATAAAATGATGCTGCTGCAGAAATGTAACTGCAGCTTCGTTTCAGTCTCAAGTTCCTAGAACTGAGACATGTCTGCTGACAGTGCTCATTGCTGCTAATAACAGAGTGCCTGGGAGCAACAGTCATCATCTGACTGTCCCCTTGAAAGAAGCGTCCCTTACCAACTTTTTTGTAAGACAATAAGTCAAGCAACATACTTGACTTTCCAAGGCAAGGAACATCAGAATTCTGAAATACAGAGTACAGATTCTATAATTCCCTCATTCCAGGTGAATTTCTGATTTTATATTATGTGCCTTTATTATATCAAATATGCTCTTTCCTGGGTAGCAGTCAAGTGCTTGCCATCTAACATCAAACAGTTACGACATTCATAAATTTCTAGGGGCTTTCTGAATGCGATTTTCTGTACGTATTTTAGAAATAATACTACTACTGCCTCATGTCTGAGGAGTAGTCTTCCTACATTGTCTCTTTACAGTCTTTTAAATTCAGTTATTTTTCTCAAAATCTTTTTTTTTTAAGGTGAGGAAGACTGGCCCTGAGCCAACATTTGCTGCCAATCATCCTCTTTTTGCTTGAGGAAGACTGTCCCTGAGCCAGTACCTGTGCCAATCTTCCTCTATTTTGTATATAGGATGCCTCCACAGCACGGCTTGATGAGCGCTGTGTAGGTCCATCCCGAGGATCTGAACCTACAAACCCAGGGCTGCAAAAGCAGAGCGCACAAACTTAACCACTACACCACTGGACCATACCCACAAAATCTAAATTTTATGTTTCTCTCATTTAAATGTTTTGATGCAGGAGAACTTAAAGGAGTTCCTTTTCCACATTTATACTAATTTCCTAATTAAAATTTATTAGTGTTTTCCATCACAGTCAAGGCAAGTTTTAAATCAAGGGTGTGTACTCTTGGAGGGATAAATAAAAAATTACAAGCTTAGAATGATTGCAAATTTTTGCCATGTGGAAATGCTATTTGCCATGTGCCTTTATTTTTATTTTTATTTTTTTTTAAGATTTTTTTTTTTTTTTTAAAGATTTTATTTTTTTCCTTTTTTCTCCCCAAAGCCCTCTGGTACATAGTTGTGTATTCTTCGTTGTGGGTCCTTCTAGTTGTGGCATGTGGGACGCTGCCTCAGCGTGGTTTGATGAGCAGTGCCATGTCCGCGCCCAGGATTCGAACTAATGAAACACTGGGCCGCCTGCAGCGGAGCGCGCGAACTTAACCACTCGGCCACGGGGCCAGCCCCGCCATGTGCCTTTAAATACCATCTATCCTATAGAGTGTGGTTTCCAAATCCACATCTCCAACTCTGATCTTTCCCTTAAGCTTCAGGCTTATATGTCCAATGACCTACTTGACATCTCTGCTTGGATGGCTACAAGGCATTCCAGAATCAGTTAAAGTCCCAACAGGAAGGAGACCTGACTGTCCCCAGCCCTGCACCCTTAGCCCACTCTTCTTAGTCTTCTGCATAAATGAACCTCCCACAGTAAATGGAACCTCCATATCGCCTACCCAGTTTGCTCCATGTAAAGCACTATAAGTCACCCTTAATTCCTTCTTTGCCCTGCTTCCTCGCAGCCTGAAATCCTGGAAATTCCAACTGCAAAACATCTCTCAACTCCATTCACATTTCCCCAGTTCCACTTTAGGCTCAGCCATCCTTCATCTCCTCCCTAGATGGCTGCCTTCTCACTGGCCTTTCTCCCCTCTCTCGCCCATCTATAACACATTCTTCCCAAAGCAATCTTCTAAAGCTATACATCTACTTATGTCCTTCCACAGTTTGACAGTTCGATGGCTTTCTATTGCATTTAGTATCAAATCTCAAAATTGCGTGACATGGTCTTTAATAGCCTCCCTTCCTCTCCCACCCACCCCGTCCCCTCTCCCAGTTGCTCACTGCATATCAGCAACACTAATTCCCTTTGCATCCATGAACACTTCAATCTTTCTTCCACTTCAGGTTGTTGTATGTGCTGCTCCCTCTGCCTAGGGTCCTCTGTCCCCAGCTGTTGCCAGGAGCTGTCTGACTCCTCCTCATCCAGACCATCTGTCTCCTCTCAGAGATGTCCTTCCCAATCAGCTTACAGTGCCACCCACCCCCGACCTATTCTCTATCACATACCAGCCGCACTTCTTCACAGCCTAGTTTCCTCACTACAAGGAGAGCTCTAAGATCAGAGCACTCCTCCCTCCGCACACAGCCTCAGCACCTCCAGCTGTATCTCAAATGCATTGGGAAATAAAAAGTACTTACTGAATGACTATCAGAAGGATGGACTGAATAAAAGAGTGAGTGAATCTTTAAGATGTGCTTAACCTTTGCTCAAACAAATGCTGTAAATTTAGTTTGATATATGAACAAGAGGCATCAATAAACATGAATTGTGGTAAAATTATGCATGACACTAAGCTCTTGACATTTTAATAAACAGTCATGTAAGAAGACATAGTAATCTGACAAAATTAAAATTAAATTCCGTGTACTTTACTAGCCAAACTGCTTTCTTTCTCCAACCCCAACCAATAATTGCAAGGTTACCTGGGGTCAGGCAGCAGCCCAAAGAAGTGAAAGAGATCTGTACGTTTAGGAAACATATTTGGTTCTCCCTCTTTTTAAAAATGGGGACAATATCATCTATCTTGCAGGGCTGATACAAAAGTGAGACCAAATCCTCCTACAGTGTGTCACACACAAGTCTGAATAAAAACTTAGTTATAGCAGCTTATTCTTGAATTATGGTAGGATCCAAAGAGTACAGGATCTGCCTATTTTCCTCCTTTTCCCATGAAATCCAGAAGAAACAAACATGCCACTTTCTACATGATTTCTACCTTTTATGAATCTGTGAATGAATGAATGGCATGACCTTGTTTATCATTTAAAATTACTTCTCCAAAATTACTCAGAAAATACAATGAAGAAGAAACCAACAGTCATCAACCCTCCTCCTCCTCTTTTCTCTTTTTTTGTGTGATGATAATGCTATATTATATACACAAAAACCTGAATTTCACGTTTCACTCAAGATATGAGGGAAAGGAAAACTTACGCTACACATTTTAAAAGATGCAACTTATTATATAGCAGCTTTTGGCAGCGTATATTCTGGAGCACTTGTTTGGAGGCGTGCTGTTTCTCTAGAGAACTGTTGTTGTTGACCAGGTAATATTTTAATACCACAAACAAAGTTTACTTTGCCCTCTCCCAGCTTTATTAAGATGTAACTGACATATTGTGTAAGTTAAGGTGTACAACGTGTTGATCTGATACACTGATACACTGCAGAATGATCCACACCCTAGCATTAGCTAACACCTGCATCACATCACATAATAACCATTTCTTTTTTGTGGTAAAAACATCGAAGATCTACACTCTCATCAACTTTTAAGCATATAATAGAGTATTATTAACTATAATCACTATGCTGTACATTAGAGCTCCAGAACTCATTCATCTTAAGTTTGTACCCTCTGACCAACATCTCCCCTTTCCTCCCCTTCTCCACCTGTCCCCTCCCCCCCCCCCCCCCCCCCCCCCCCCCCCCCCC